TGCCCAGATACCCACAGACACATACCTTTGAGCCTAGGTTCATTCCCACCTGTCACCACTGTGGAGCTCTAGGACACACTAGGTCTAGATGTTATAAGTTAGGCAATGAGCGTAGAAATCAAAATATTCCTAGTCAGGTTAGCTTTCTATCTAATCAGGTTAGTCATTTGACTGAGATGCTTACTAAGCTAACTAGGAGTACCTCGTCGTCTAAGAAAGTTTGGGTTAAAAAGGGGGATCTAGCTGGACATTCAGGTTAGGTAAATTGTTATGTTGCTCATGTTGCATTAAAAGCCCAAAATTACAATATGTGGTACCTTGATAGTGCATGTTCTAGGCATATGTGTGGTAACAAGGCTTTATTCACTACTCTTGATGAATGCAATGGGGGTATGGTTACCTTTGGAGATGGGGGTTTTGTACCTATTCTTGGCAAAGGTACTGTACAAATGCATGGATTACCTGTGATTTTAAATGTGCTTTATGTGGAAGGTTTAAAGTGGAACTTGTTAAGTATTAGTCAGATTTGTGATGCTGATTTTGAGGTTGGCTTTGTGCAAAAGAGATGTACCGTGTATGATTCATCCGATGGGGTGGTCCTTGAAGGGGTTAGAACGTCTGATAACTGTTATAGAGTCCTACATAATTCTAACTATGTGTGTAGGAGTGCAAAAATTGATGTGAGTGAACTCTGGCACAAAAGATTGGGTCATTTAAACTATAAGAGTCTAGTACAGCTAGCTAAATAGGAGTTGGTAGATAGTTTGCCTAAAATAGGTCCTAGTGAAAATGTTGTGTGTGGACCATGTCAACTAGGTAAACAACTTAAGGGAAGCCATAAAAAGACTTCTAAAATTCTGACCAAAAGACCCCTGGAATTGATACACATGGATTTAATGGGACCATCTAGGACTAAAAGTCTAGGAGGTAAGTGGTATATTTTGGTTGTGGTAGATGATTTCTCGAGGTTCATATGGATAGAATTGCTTAGGGAAAAATCTGATGCATGTGATCTTATAAAATCTTTGTGTAAACGGCTTAGTAATGAACTCAATCTCAAAGTGTCCAGAATGCGTAGTGATCATGGGAAAGAGTTTGAAAATTTTAATCTTGAGAGTTTCTACATGGATGAAGGGATACTACATGAGTTCTCTTCCCCTATCACTCCTCAACAAAATGGGATGGTTGAAAGGAAGGATCGTGTTCTTCAGGACATGGCTAGGGCCATGCCTCATGGCAATGGACTAGCCTTACATTTTTGGGGAGAAGCTATTAATATTGCATGCCACATAATCAATAGAGTCTACCTTAGACCCAAAATCGATCAGATTCCATATGAGATTCGAAAGGGTAAAAAGCCTACTGTTAAATACTTTCGTGTGTTTGGGAGTAAGTGCTACATTTTGCGTGATAGAGAGAACTTGAGTAAGTTTGAATCTAAGAGTGACGAAGGAATTTTCTTAGGGTACACTAGAAATAGCCGAGCATTCCGAGTATATAACTCACGTACTCGTGTTGTGATAGAGTCAGTCAATGTTGTGATAAATGATGTTGTGAGTGAGGGGGAGAATGTTGAAAATTGTGATAGGATGGACGATCAAAATGGTGATCTTATAAGGTCTAGTGATCCTACTGAACTACCTTTGTCTGAATCATTTCTTAGAATACCTGAAACACCTGAAAAGGAAACACATCCACAAGATCGAGACAAAAATCCTAAGGAACCATCGTCTAGGGTCAAGTCCAATCATCCTAAGGACAATATCATTGGGGATCTAGATAAAGGTATGAGGCTTCGTAAGAGGGTACTGAACAATCTAGCATATACTAGCTATGTTTCACAGGTTGAGCCCAAGAAAGTAGAAGAGGCTCTTAGTGATGAGTGTTGGGTGAATACGATGCATGAGGAACTAAATCAATTTGCTAGAAACAGTGTGTGGATTTTAGTTCCTAGACCTGAAAACTGTAATGTTATTGGTACTAAGTGGATCTTTAAGAACAAGATAGATGACCAAGGTACTATAACCAGAAATAAGGCCAGATTAGTTGCACAGGGTTATACTCAAGTTGAGGGAATTGATTTTGATGAGACTTTTGCTCCTGTTGCACGACTTGAGTCCATTCAGATTCTGCTTGCTATTGCCTGTACCCTAGGGTTTAAGCTTCATCAAATGGACGTTAAGAGTGCCTTCTTGAATGGACTTCTTCAAGAAGAAGTCTATGTTGAACAACCAAAAGGATTTGTTGATCCAAAGTTTCCCCACTATGTCTACAAACTCCACAAAGCACTCTATGGTCTGAAACAAGCTACTAGAGCTTGGTATGAGAGACTTACATCATATCTTGAGGAACATGGGTTCTCTCGAGGTAGTGCTGATAGGACCTTATTTATTAGAGATATTGAAAAAACTATCACTATTGCCCAAATTTATGTTAATGACATCATTTTTGGTTCTCCCATTGAGTCTCTAGCGTATGAGTTCATCGAGTGTTTGAAGCAAGAATTTGAGATGAGTATGGTTGGTGAGTTAAGTTACTTCCTTGGACTTCAGGTGAAACAGATTGAGGATGGGTTGTTTATTTCACAGTCTAAGTATGCAAAGGATTTAGTTAAGCGCTTTGGGTTAGACAGTAAGAAGCATACTAGGACACCTATGAGTACTAGCTTGAAGTTAGGTCGTGATCCTTCAGGTAAGAGTGTAGATCCTTCACTATATCGAAGTATAATAGGTAGTCTTCTCTATCTCATAGCGACTAGACCTGACATTACTTTCAGTGTTGGAGTGTGTGCTGGATTTCAGGCAGATCCCAAAGAATCACACTTAAACTCGGTTAGACGCATCATTAGATATGTGAGTGGTACCGTTGATCTAGGCATTTTCTATTCTAGAGATTCTAATCTTGATTTGGCTGGCTACTCTGACGTCGATTGGGCCGGGAATGCAGATGATAGAAAAAAGTACGTTTGGGGGCTGTTTCTACATGGGTAGCAATCTTGTAGCCTGGTTAAGTAAGAAACAAAATTTCATATCCCTATCCATGGCAGAGACCGAATACATAGCAGCTGGGAGTTGCTGCACTCAGCTTCTCTGGATGAAGCAGATGCTGAGTGATTATGGGATTAATCAAAGGACCATGACTGTTTTCTGTGACAATACCAGTGCTATAAATATCTCTAAGAATCCTATTCAACATTCTCGAACGAAACATATTGACATACGACATCATTTTATTCGTGAACTTGTTGAAACACATGTTGTCTCTCTAGATCATGTCTCTACTGACAACCAATTGGCTGATCTACTTACAAAACCACTAGATGGGTTGAGATTTGAGTCGCTTCGGATGACTGTTGGTATTTGTTTGCCTATTTGATCATGGATTCATGCCTATTCATGCATTTATTACATCTGCACTTATTCACTTCGTATCTTGCATGTGATCAATGTGTGTGTGGTGCATTTTGATTGTTAGTTCGTCTTTTAGTTTTATTTTGTTTACTAAGTTTGTGTGTTTTACAAAAAAGAAAAAAAAAGAATTTTCTTTTTTTGTGCCTCTTGTTTGACTTTATTACGTTTGCATTTAGGATCAAACTCTATCTTTCATCATATGTACGAGTCTGAGGTTCCATCGTAGTTCTCATTTTCTGTGGAGTTCTTGGTATATGGCTCATCATGGATTTTCGCACAACACACACTGTAGTCCTGTAGGTGAGTCTTGACCGCATGGGTGGGACTTGGGATGGTATTCTTCTGTGATTGGGGTTGTTTGTCCATTTGACTTGATCTGTGACGAGTGTAACCTACTCAATTCTGTCTTTCCCCATTTTCTATGTTATTCTCTGAACTTATGTCTGTCTTCGGGGCCTATTTGACTCGAACAATTAAGCCTTAGGTGTTTCTAACCTGGTGCCCTATGGTTGTCTGGCTTGGGAGTCACCGGCCCAAAGTTTGTTACTGGGGTCATTTATGTTGCCTAATCAGGGTAGAATTGCATATATATATATATATATATGGCATACAGTTAGGGGGAGTAAAATTGTGACAATAATACTGTTTGATATAGGTCATCGTGGAATTGGATTTGACTATCACTTGGTCGATATACACTCCTTTACAGTTGTTTTCACATGTCCTTTCTCACTAATTTAAGGTTTTGAGTCTAACTTGTATGGACTACGTGGCACATTTCACGTTGATGTTCTGTATACAATTTACTCCACGGGATTTTGAACTATGTGTTGACTTAAGATTTGTCTATGTGTTCTGAATGTTGAGTTTGTGATTTTGTGATTATTGTTCGCATCGTCTAAATATTTGGGTACGTGCTTCATCTTCTATTTTTGGATTGTTTTGATATAACAAAAATTCAAAATGAACATAAAAATAAACGTTTTTGGAGCTATTTTTGTTATTTTCTGAAAATTGTGCTATATTTCTTCAATTTCAAATTTTTGGTGTTATTTTTGACATTTGATTTTCGCTCGAGTTTCGCTTGGATTTCGCTCGAGCGACAAAAGTAGAATGGATGTCGCTCGAGTTTTGCCCAGGTCTCGCTCGAGCAACAATTCCTTTTACAGCGACCCTGTTTCATTTTTTCTGCGCAATTCAATCTTTTTCTCTCCTTCTTCCTTTCTTTCTTTTCTTCCATCAATATTATTCACTTCCCATTAACTTTTGTCTCAATTCGACACCTTTAACACGGTTCTTGATCCAAAGTTTCAACTCTTGGCTTCACATTTTTGGATAATTCACAGTTTCGGTTTTTTTTTTTTAATTTGTTTCTCTCACTGCTTCGTTATATTGTTGTTTTGTGCATTCCTTGGCTGTTTTTATTGTTCTTAAACATGTTTTGCATCACCAATTTCCATAAATTGTGCATTACTATGGTTTTTCTTCACATGTTTTTCACACTTTTAGTCCATTTTCATTGGAGTCATTCTTGCGTTTCGTTAATCGGTTTGATGTGTGGCTTTGATGGTTGTAAAGTCCATGGAGTGTAGTTTTTAGGGATGTGTTTGGATTTGTGATTGGGCCCCGTATGTACTTGGAATTTGGTGCCGAAGTCGCGTCCATCACGTGTTCAATGAAAGTTTACCTCTTATGTATGTTTTGGTTTTCTTTGTTTTTCTTCTTTTTTCCTTCGTTCTTTCCTATTTGTTTGCATGTCGTAACGTGCCATGTGTGTCTTCTTTCAAGTTTATGTGGTTTGATCATATTTTTGGACTCTCACTCGGTCATGCTTGTTTTGTTCTGCATGTCGTTTACGTGGTTCGATGCATTTTCTTTATGCCTCATCTGTGTGTTTGTGTGCGCATCTCCTCATGTCATATTGTATCGTGGTACGTGCATTTTCCATGGTACTTATTCTTTCCATCTCCACGTGTGCCAAATGGCCCGTAAGCGTTCTCGTCCCTCTGCACAGCCCGCTAGTGGTTCGACGTCTTACAGTAGATCTAGGTTTATTTCTGCTACAGCTCAAGAGGTCTTCACTTCTCAGTTCTCCTTACACCCCTTTCTCATGGAGCGTGAGTTAATTTTGTCTAACCTTCCTATTGACATTATCGTTATCTTTGTTTCTCGGGGTTGGGAGCCCCTTCTTATTGGTCTTACATTGCTGGCTCCACTCTTAGTTCAGGAGTTTTATGCTAATATTCATGATGTGGATGGCTCGTCATTTAGGGTTTTTCTTAGAGGTCATTATTTTCGTGTTACTCCGTCTACGGTAGCTCTTACGTTAGGTATACCTCAGATTTCCCATCCGACTTATCCTTACATTCTTCCTGCTTCTCTTCTGTCGATGCCCTTGTTCGGTCGACTCTTTTGAACACCCCGTCTGCTGGGGGGTCTACGGCGATGGCCACAGGTTACTTACCTACTAATAGAAAGGTCTTGTTGCGCATCGTGTGCACAAACTTGTGGCCCGTTGCCCATACTTCTTCTTTACCTATGGTGCGAGCCCGTTTTCTCTATGCCCTTCTTCATGGGGACTCTATAGACCTTCCTAGTTTTGTGTGCCAGCAGATTTCGGCTTCGTTTTGTACTCTTGAGGGTCGTATAGGTTTGTCTTATGCCTGTCTGATTCATAGGGTTGTCCTATCTCTTGGTGCTTCTTTCCCTGAGGGGTCGTCTAGTCGTATAGGTCATCCGATAGGACAGCAGACCATCCACCAGATTCGAGTCCATGTCCCGTCCTCTTCTTCTACTTATGCTGCAGCTCATGATAAGCCAGTTGATATTTTTGACTTTTCGGAGCCCCTTGATCCTATTAGTGACATCCTTTCTGGGGGTTCCCGTGTCTTTCTTCCTAATCGTTTGGATATTCCTCCGGCTCTTTCGTCTCAGGCCGACCTTCTTTCAATGTCTACTTCCGCTCCAGGGGTGGCTTCCTTGTCCATTGACCCCATGGTGACGCTTATGGGACAGATGGCTACTTTGGTCGAGCAGCAGGCTCGTATGATGGCTCACGTAGTTACGTGCTGCTTCGAAGCTTCAGTTTGCTGAGCTTTCTACATTTCGGCTGCTTTGGCTGTCTGTCAGCGTCAGTTACGTTGGATCCGTGATCGCTTGGATGAGAGCACGAGTGACGAGACTGGTGATGAGTCTTCGAGTGCGGGTGATGCTGCCGCGTAGTTTTTGTTTTTGCTCCTTTGTCATTTGTGACAAAAAGGGGGAGTCGATATATGATAGATAGATAGATCTCATTTTTTGATTAATTGTGATATAACTGTGGTTTTGTATCTATTCAATGGCTAGATTAAGTTTTTGATGTTTTAGCAATATTGATGTATGTTTTTGGTGTTTTTGACTTACATTACTATTGCTTCTTAATCTGGCTAATGACATACACACTATTCCTTGTTTTATTTACTATTTCCATTTCACGTGCTTTTAAACTTGGTATTGAATTTCTGTATTTCAGGAAACAGGTTCGACAAGAGATAGCTGCTTTGGTTGAATGGATTGGTCGTTTAGAGTTACATTTCTTTTTGTGTCCTTGACTGTCTTGTGTAATTTTGTCACAGAATGCCAAAGGGGGAGTTTGTTAGGAAAATGTTGTAATTGGCAATCTGTGACCAAAAGGACCAATTTGTCAAGTTTGTAAAGTCAAGGACTAATTTGTAAAGGTCTAAAAGTTCAGGGACTTGTGTTGCAATTTAGCAAAAATTATGGTATAGGTCTAGGGTAAAGTTGGGTGCCTTGAAGATGAAAACGGCGCAAGATCACGCTAGAGTTTCACCCTGACCTCGCTCGAGCCTAAATAACAGAACCTATCTCGCTAGAGTTTCGCCACTGCTTAGCTCGAGCAAAAGTGCGTCGCTAGAGTTTCGCCGGCACTTCGCTCGAGCAACAATGCTATCCGGGTTTTGGTAATTTTCCTTCCTTGCAATTTTTAGACGTTCCATACTACCAAAACCGACCTCATATATATTCAAAAGTCCCGTTTTTCGTATACAACCTTTGGATAAACACAATTGAAAGATTTTTCCTCTCAACCAAAGGATCAACTTCATAATTCCTTCTTTTCATCATATGTCTTATTGAAGAAAAACATCAAACACCTCTTAAAACAAAACAGCTTTCAAAAATCCTCACTACTTTCAGAAGATCGACTGATTAAAGATTCGGGAAGGAGATTGATTGAAGAACTGGAGTTCTTGCTGATTCACGGGAAATAGAAGAAGGACAAGGCTGGGATTTTAGCACAGATCTGCAAAATCCAGGAGAGCTTTGGTTGATATAGTAAGGAGGTCAGAGTGTTGTTAGATACAGTCATATCTAGTGTACTGTAAGTTGAAGTCTTCTATAGTGAATACCTACTGGCTTGTGCCCGGAGTTTTTACCCAGTAGGGTTTTCTCCGTCAACAATTTGTTGAGTTATTTATAGATTTCTGTCATTTTTAATTCAATTGAAAATTCAACATAGGTAGTTAAATCATGTGAATGAATCTGGACAAAGTTTAATTTATGTGACTTGTTACATAAGTTGA